TATATAATGGATTTCGATGGAATCTCTATACTGTATGGTGTGCTTCCATGTGAATAGAGTTCAGCCAGCTGAATGCATTGTTATAGTAGTGCATTCTGGGCTTGCATGTTATTGTTTAGAGGGACAATCTGGCCTTGCGTTAGTGGCTAAAAATTCCCAACACTTACTGCGGGGCGTTATGCCCGCACATGTGCTCAATCGTCAATATACTCCAGGTGGTGAATATTAATGCAGAATCCCCCGCTTCCACCATACAATTCGATTGTGGTTTTGTCAGACGAGATGCCATAATATATATTACCTTTTAGGTTAAAGCCACGCCGCATGAGTCGCAGAGATGAGCAAAACAACGACAGGTGCGTCCTTTTTTTTCAAATGTTTCGTCATTGCTGTCACTTCAGGGTCTGTCATTTTCCACGGATTGTGTTGACGCTCGAGGGAAAAGTTCTGGGGTGAGGGGGGAAGCTTGTACTAATAAGCTGTTTTAGATCAATTTTCTGTTTGTATTCATTTTTAGCATAGTATTGTGAGGAATTCATGCATACGCTGTTGGCATGCAGCAAGGCACCAACTGCCCAAGCACTGCACCAATATCTTATAGTGTAGCGTGTAATTTCACAAATCTTGTACACTTGAAAGGTGCTGCAAAAAATTCACATGATGCAATGTTTCAGGCATTAATGTAAAAAATATGATGTAGAAGTAGTATGAGGTATCTCCAGGCAAAGTGTTGAGCTTAGTTTCCAAACCCCTCCACGATGGCCTTCCTCGCAATCATATCATGGTTTTGGGGACTTAAAACCTGAGATATTAACCTTTCAACACAGTCGCAGGAATTCGCAGCCTTTTTATACTGCAGCACTCTTGTCAACAGGCACTCTGTACTGTGCCCACAGAAAAAATCTGTGCCACAGGTAAACAGAAATTTTTGCAAATAGTAAAATGCAAATGTTTAAAACTTATACTTTTAATCGTCTGGTATTTGATCAGACTTAAATGACAACTCGACTATCTGAAACATTCAAACCCTCCGATTATGTGATGTACTCGGAACATCTTTCAATTGCGAAGGGACAGAAAAGTTATGCTGTTTCTCGGGTGACGCTGTCTACTAACTCGCTCTAGCAGATGATGCACAGCATACTTCTGGAGCTGCCAGTGCATGGCAATGTGTATGGGGCTTAGCACACCTTCGCAACCAAATGCTGGATTTATCCCAAAGCAAACCACCCAAACGGATGCAAGAGACTGCATAAAGATAACATCATGAAATAAAAAAATAATCCTTTGAAAAAAATCGCTGCATTTCAAGCTGCTTGAAGATAATTATGGGGCGAAGCTTTCGGAGGTGATTATTGTGATTAAAGTTGAGATAGTACTGAGACTGATTGTGGTTGTGATACTCATATTTTTTTTTATTCAAAGAGATAGTGCTGAGACCGTTTGTAATATAGCGGTGATTCTTCTTTATAGCTGATATGAGGTTCAGAGTTCCGGGTTACGTTTTGACTTCATAATCACAGCTTCATTAGCTATCGTCTCTGGTGTAGAATTTGCTTGTCGGTATTGCCGCTTTGCATCCGCTTCAAGTTGTCTCAACTGCACGTCAGCTTGGCGTTTTTCCCGCTTAGCCTTTGCTTCCTTAGCCCTAGTCTGTGGTGTAGAACTTTGTTGTCGCCGTCGCCGCTTTGCATCCGCTTCCTTCTTTTTTGTCTCCGCGGTAGCTTCTCGTCGACGGTGACGCTGATACTCAGCACGTCGTGCTTTCCTGCGTTCGTCTTCGTCCATATCAGAGAAGAGAATGTGTGGTATGGAACGTGATTATATATATATAACGTTGACAGCAGCGCCATCACATATACAATTATCCACAGCGCCCTCTGTTGCTTATAAGTTGAAGGTTACATGCGAAACGGTTACCACCAACACCCTCTGTTGCTTAAAGTTGAAGGTTACATGGTGTTATGGACAGACGGGGGATGGCGGACATCGTGAGGTCTTAAGGAGCTTCGCCCCTAATAACTAAACAGCGTTACAGTTTAAAAGCTTAAAGACTATTTCTGTTAAGACGAATTCTTGCTTAAAGGGACACTAAAGAGGTTGAAGAATGACTTCATTTAGATTGACCAACTGCACTTTGAGAAACTCTAATGCCATGTGTTTTGCTATCATAAATTCATTATTAGCAGAGAAAAAAACGGGTTGAAGTTTCATTTTTAAACTATGCGCCAAAATCTCTGTGTGTGACGTCAGAAGCTCCTAAATGTATTTTTGGTATACAAATAACTTTGTATGCTAAGTCTCTAGTACCCACAGATGCCCATGTACTTCATTTTTATCGATTGGAGGCTACTTAGGACAAAGGATACGCCTTCGAAATTTCTTACGTCACAAGTTGGAATCTCAAGGTGGCGTCTCCACCCAAATTTCATTTTCATGCACTTGTGAACTTAGTAAGTGTTGTGTGGTAGTAAGAGTGGTTTTTTCACGAATGTGAAATTGTACTTAATTAATACATGAAAAGTCATTTTGCTCTTTAGTGTTACTTTAAGATAAACAACAAGGGAGTGTTTGTTGGTTGTGTGGTAGTAAGAGTGGTTTTTTCACGAATGTGAAATTGTACTTAATACATGAAAAATCATTTTGCTCTTTAGTGTTGCTTTAAGATAAACAACAAGGGAGTGTTTGTTTTGTTCACGATATACTCAATGCAGAAAAAAAAATCTGCTTAAGACGAACCGCATAACAGGTTTCTTCTGTTAAGACGAACTCTCACAGCGAGCAACAGCGACGGGGATTCTGCACAACGAACATTATAGTCTAGATGGGGGCATTCAGGCGAACAAGAGAAAGCAAAATGAAAATAAATAAATGAGCAAATGAATAAAAAAAGGAGAACTTCCTGGGGCAATGACTGGAAGCATATCGAAAGCTAATTGTGACGTGGACTGAAAAACGAGATAAGTGGAAAGGAAAGGTCAGTGTATAAAGCTGGTATCTCCCTCACCCCTAACCTGTAGGTGGAGAAAGGGCTGGCTTTATCAGCAAAGAAAGCAACAAAGAGTGTCTTTTCGTATTCTCCTTGCGTTCTTCAGTTCCCCAACAGCAGTGCAGTGGAGTACAGAACAACACAAGATCTTGGCTAGAGAAGAAAATGCAAGGGAAGGGGGGTGTAAAAAAGCCAGACAAAATGAAAACAACGATTATCTGTCCATTATAATCACATGAAACAGAAACCACATACGTGGCACCATCGTTTCATCAGAGGGGTCAGATGCATTGTTATCGCCGTCACACAATGGTGCCTGAGCACATGTTGTTGTCAGTTCAGGTTGTTTTGAATAGGGCCTGCTCCTAGTGAAGTGCGAATTGTGATGCTCCATTTTCATTATGAAAGTGCACAACAAAGGTAGGTCATTTTGCACACCAAATATAGCTAGGTTGTCTTTTTTGTGTGCCCGAGGCTTCTGATCGTGAGTAGTGTAAACGGAGATCTTCAGCTGCATGTCGTTCAGGAAAAGTTACTGCGGGATGAAAATAGGATAATATTCCATCCTCAAAGAAATTCTTGCAGACTCTCATAATCAACTTGACGTGTATTGGCTTGGGCAAAGTAGCGGTATGCAATGGAGGAGTATCCAAAAGAGATAGCAAAGCCAGTAAAACAGCCTCTCAAAAGGTGAACAGCCTGAAGAATAAATTTTCCATTCTTTAAAGAAAAATTGTGCTTGTCTCTCTCCTTTAATTTTTTTCTAATTGTCAAAAGAGAGTCGTGCTACAGTTTTATTGTTAATATGTGGTAGCAATTTATTCATGAGCATATTAATCATGAACTTGCGAAACCAAGTACTACTCGCTAGATAAGTCTAAATACTCTCGTTGAAAACATAGTTTTTACCAAGCTGAGCCAAATGAATGATTTTTCTTGTTAATTTCCTCCCCATTGTAAGTATACTTCATTCAGTTCTTTCAAGCAATATATTTAGACGTACTTGGCATGTTAGCATTTTGTTTTCAGAAGCACTCCTGATAAGAGCAACTCCTGATAAGACGAACAAATGATCGTGGTCCCTTGGAGTTCGTCCTGTATTGTGAGCTTATAGATGATAAAGTATCCAACATTATATGATAAGTCAATGCTCCACCTCATCATGATAATGTGCTTCGAGGATTCAACTGTCATAACAAGGCACCAAGTTCCTCAGGTGTGCAGTTGTTTTCAGTGTCAACGAAATGTCACATACAGAAGGGTGTCGCTGTGCCCCAAACATATAGAGTAGCTATATCTCCTTCACAGCTACTTCATATAGCGATGGTAGCGATACTGCCAAGAAATGGCGTTGTACAATGCATAAGCTTCCTGTAGATTTATGTGTTGTACAATAAACTTGCTTGTTCTAATTTCTGGTTGGTAAAAAACTTTTTCCCAGAGGATATATTTCTCTGAAGCTTGCCATTTTGATTAAAGTTGTTTCTCTTACCAGAGGTTAATAATACTTGGTATCTGAAGAATTTTGCAAGATGTCCACTTGGTTTCAATCAAATTCACTTCAAAGCAAGAAATTTCAAAGCAAGAGATGGCCCTATTGGCAATTTTTTTCAAGAATGCTTTGCCTACCAACAATCGAGACTTTTTTTCATTAAAACCTGTGGTTTTAAAAAACCAGTTTAACTACACATTGGACAGACCTGGCGAATCGTAGTATCTCTGATGTTGATATTACAGCTGCAAACAAGCTCTCAAAATCTGGCATATTACATATGGGCATGATAAAATGGTAAGTTTTATTATGCGCATGACCACAGACATCATCCTATGACTACAGAAATCATCATTGACACTTTCATAATCGCTCTGCAGAATAAAAAACATCTTAATGCACTAATCGTTGCTGTTCAATGTTCATAAAAAGAAAATTCGACTCGGTTTCCAGAGAGCCAGTCAACATTTTTTTTTGCGGTCTTCCTCCACAAACATCAGTGGAAAAAAAAGCACAACATTCACGGAGCCACATTTTATTATTTCATGCATTCAACACACCATACACCACACGTCAACACACCATACACACATATGCTGACATATGCACACACAAAAGAACAGTGTGCGGAAGAAAATACTCTATTAAATCTATGAACGCTTGACTTTTTGAATTTTTTTCTCGACGCTTCGCGAACTTTTTGTAAAGGTAGAGAGCCACAGAAAAGGTGATGACGATAAAAAAACCGACAGTGAATGCTTAATCAAAAAAAAAAAGAAAGAAAATAGGTTCACCAGCATTGTACAAGACAGCAACACAACAATTTGTCATTTACTACACACAACGCAGATGTTGGGCTTATTTACATAGCATTAAAGTCGGCGATTTCGAAATGATGCACAAACTGTTGTCGTTTTCTACAACAGCGGGCACGATCTCGCAATGCATCATGGCCTTCACAATAATAAAAGCTGCTATTCGCGCCGAAAAAACGGTAATAACAAAAGTGTGAAGTGCCCTGGAGCTACAGAATTCACGAAACTTCCAGCAGCAAATGCATGCACAACAAAGAATTGTGTTCCAGATGTGTGCATTGCACACTTCCGTTAGAGCTTAGTGGGTGGATGCTACGTCCTGTTAAATAACCTGCATCTCTTATTTTACAAACATCCTCTACAAGGTTGGTGATGAGATGAGACCCAATGTCATCCTGCTTTGCATGTCTCATCGTCATCAGGTGCAGGTATCTCTATCTCGTTCTGTACAAAGCAAATGCCACAGGAGTTGTCATTATCTCTTGAAACGCTGCTTCATAAACTTGAGGGTCTTCTGCATTAATGGTGCAACCTTTGGTTCTGAAAGGCAGAGAAAGAAAGATTACAGCACAAGACGACTGGTGTGAATTACCATTGTCAATTCAATTAACTTAACGACTCAATGACATTCCAAGAGTGCCAGTTATGACATGGATCTTCATATTGCCTGCTTAAGGTTGCACGTTGTTCCTAATGCAGATAAATAACGTTCTCATATGCTGAAGTAAAGAAATGCCCAAACAACCAACACTTGTGGGACCTTTCACTGCAAGGAAAAGTGGCCAAACGAACAGTATATGGCCAAACATTACTACAGTCGACTCCTCTTGAAGGGAACTGGAAGGGGATCTATAAAACTGTTCCATTTATCAGAAGTTTCATTTAAGCAAAGTACACTTATTTAGTGAATCAAAAGCTCTATTCAAATTGCACAAACTTCATCTTACTCATGAGGATGACTAGGAGAAAAAAAGGAGTGAAGGGTGGTTTGTTTGGCAAGCTGGAGTTGTTTTTTTCACAAGGTACGCACCCATGCCTGACAAACTAGCCAGAAACTCTGGACAAGCCTCATGCTCAAAGTAGCGCTGCAAAACCACTGCAAAGTTCAGCAGCCTCTTTAGCTGATCTGTCTGGTGGCACCACTGCACTGGCAATATTGTCATCACATTCATCGCTAGAAGGTTGATCCTCATCTTGCACTTCGACAATCGTTTCCTCGACAGTCTCCTCACGACAGGTATGAACATTTGCATCAATTGATTCGCAGTTCAGCAGCATGAAAGGGGCAGAGGGCACGACCTCACTGAATACTGCCTCAATGTCGGCACCAGCAGGGCTTTCTTCATGAGGTACTGCTTCTTGCACTTGAAAGCCAGCATGATGAAAGCATCTGTGTATTATTGCCTTCACTTGTTCCCAGGCATGAGCCAAAATGTAGATGGCTGCCAATGAATCTATGCTGTAGCATTTCCCGCTGTATGCACAAAGCAGCATGCGATAGAGCAATTGTCTGCGGTGATGAACTTTAATGTTCTGAATAACTCCTTGATCCATCAGCTGGATCACTGCCGTTGCATTGACCGGCATGAACTCCAGAGTGATGGCTTGGAGTCTTTCAACCTGATGAAGACAACCTTGCTGCCTTGACTCGTAAATCTTGCATCTTCCTGCCATAGCCAGTTTTCTAAAATGGCCATGGTCATCCACGCTCTGCCGTTTGCATGGTACGCAACGGGAAGGTGTCGAACGCCTTTGAAACAACGTGGGTGCCTTGATTTTCCTATTACCAATAGCTTCAATTTCTCATCTCCTGCCATGATCGCAACCACCAGCACAGAGTCTTTGATGGAAGCGCTTTATAAGAACGACCCATCTCGCCGACGTTTAAGATGTCTCGTGGCTCAAAGCTCATCGAAATTTCCTTAAGCCGCGCCTGTTGCCAGTCGGTGCAAATGTCTCTGTTGACTGCAGCGCTCTCACCTGAGATTGCTTAGAAGACAAGGCCATGGCGTGTTTTGAAGCGGCTGAGCCATCTGTCGTTTAGGACGAAGTTCTCAACACCCATTTGCATGGCGATCTCTCGAGCTTGCTGCTCGAGAATTGGTCCGCTTATGGGCAAATTGGAACTCCGTGCACGCTTGAACCACAAAAAAAGAACTTTTTCGAGTTGTTCATGAGGCATCATCCACATCCGTTCATGAGGCATCATCCGCATCCGCATCCGTTTAAAGGTTCCGTTCTTTAAAGCGCCTTCAATCTTTTCTCTGCCTTTGCAGATCCGCGACAGCGTCTATTTAGGGATGTTGTATTTTTTTCGCCACCTCCATCTTGGGCAGGCCGCTTCGATCGAGCTCCTGAGGAATTCGCAGCTTTTTTTTTTTTTCAAGCGAGAGTGCATTGTGCAGCCGCTTCTTTTTATCAGGCTGAAATAACACCGTGATCTACCTCACTTAGCGGCACAAATAGGCTTAACACACAACTGACTCGCCGACTCAATTCCTGCAGCCACCACAAGCGAGAATGGGTACTGGATTGGCTTGTCTCGAGGTGTTGCCATGGTTGCGAGACTACTTTTGGCCTGAGCGAGTCTATGCTGTGATTAGAGTTTGTGCCGTTTAACCGTAGGTGACCAGTAAGCACTGTTTCAATTAACCGATGAATTTTACTACGCAACCCATAGAAATCCAGCCATATGAGCCCATTTAGTTCCCTTAATGAGGCATTTTCGTTTAGGCAAATTTTGCTTATTGGGAGCCCACTGTATATCGAACTCTGTTAAATATTGAAGGCACCACGTTAAAGATAGCAGTCGGTTGGTTCAAGACGAATCTTTTTATACAGACGAACTTGTGCCTGGAAAACGAAAAGCCACACTAAGGCAATACACGCTGTCCACTGATCGTGGACAGAGCATCAGCTGTTGAAATTCGATCATCAATGGAACGTGTAGTCTTTCATCCAGTGGCCACTGAACCTTTCAGTGTTATCGCTGGTGCTTGTATAAACTCTCGAACAACCTTGACTATCCACGTCCCGCGCATGACCTTAAGACTTTGATGGTACATATAGTACAGGTACATCATGCATCAACAGCCTAACACTGTCAAAGACAAACATGTACATAATATCCAGAATGTTTAAAAAGCACGCGTTCTTGAAATTATCGAGTAAAACGGGTGTATTTTTATGCCACAACAATAATCATCCGGCTTGCCTGCACTTCCTTTCTTGAAAACTCGGCGGTGGCCACTTTCTTATCACGAATGCTATGTCCCGCTGATAACGAGCATGCTGTTCAGGACAGGAGTGTGCCGGTTGCCGCGACGATAAATCAAGAAAAGAAGGGCAAGATAGATGATGATTATTGTTGTGGGACAATAAGATGCTCCTCTTTACTCTATCTTTTCTTAGAGCTGTAGTTTCCATTTCCCTCTTCAGCTGGTTCCTGCTTGTTGCGCTTGCTAAACTAATGGCTGTCTGGTTTAGAGTCCTAAAGAATGTGACCAATTTGTTATTTTCATGTTTATTGCTCGTTGATACAGTAATTTACGCCTGTTTCCACGCAGGCGCTGACTGACACAGATGATGCCGCAGCAGTTGCATTTCCTGTTTCGTGGACTTATACCAGAGCTAGGACACATTGATGATTGAAATGCAGCCCACTCGCTCTTTTGCTCACTACATTCTATTCAATGGCTCGTCTCTTCTGCCAACTGAGCGTTTCTCCTCGCCATGTGAGGAGCACAGTGGAGCAGGCATAGCAGCAGGCAGGCTAAGAGATTCTATTTGCTGCTGATATTACCAGATTCTATGAGCGATGTATTCTATGAGCGATTTTATGAACTCTGGGGATACCGAAAGGCACAGAGAGAAGCATGGGTTGTTCTCTCTCTTTTTTTTTCTTTTTTTTCTGTGGCACAGCCCAAAAGCATGTAGTGCTGTTGTATTTGGCAGTGTTCATCGTGACAGCACTCCGAACTGAATGGGTATGCTCGCTTGAGATATACTGGAAGTCATTTAGGGATCTTGAGCCTTCTGACTTGCACACTGAGCACTGTGCTTAGACCTGCTCCGTTTATATGGCGCACTTAAAGGGAGAAAACTGCACTGTCTGCAGCACTCACTCTTAGGTATTGCCGGTGTGGCCGCGGATGGCCGACTGATGCTGGCACTAGCGCTTGGGGAGGATGCGGGCCGCGACGACAGACGGTCGGAAGGCCTGACTGGAACAGCCGACTGCAAACCCGTGCCGTGCTTGGCCTGTTGCCTGGCAACATTACGGGGAGGCTTGGCCACTGTGTCGACGTAAGCCAGCTTGGTCTGACGCACTGCAATGACATAACAGGCGAGACAGGAGAGAGGTCAGCTAAACGCCACTGTAGATACTATACACTGCCATTCAAGGTTGGCTAATGTACAAAAAAAATTGAAGCGAGAAGAACACTGTTCCAGAACTATGAACAAAGGCACCAATGCTGATGATGAAATATTTCCAAGCATTCTTTGATGCACTGGTGCAAGTGAATAGTTCAAAAGAGATTTCTTTTTATGTAACCATAATGAAACCACATTAGTAACAACAATGCTGCTTTTATCTGTTATAATGTTATAATCTCATAGGAATCTAGTACTACCATGATTATTATGCCTCCCCCATGTACTGCCATAAGAAAGTCAGCAAAATTGGCGATTTCAGCTCGTTACACTTCAAACAGTTATAGTAAAATACGACCTTCTGCTGGAGAATATATCCCTCAAAGAGTTCCTTTTTTTTCTTAACGAAAGGTGCCAAAAGAAATGTTCATGCAGTAAGACAGTCTGAATATAATGATAGATGTTTTTCTTAAACAGCTGCCAGATTTATCTTCTGCGTCATTGTGAATGCAATCAATACGACTTATTCAAGAATGTCTACTACATCACATCACCAACTTCACTTAAATTACGGATTGGTTCGGCAGAAGTTTCCTAAGTCAGTTTCCAACACAAGTTTATAAAGCAGGTAGCGTTATAAGTATTATCAGCTCTCAGAATATCGCTGATTAAAATTTCTGGAATTTGTGGTGTTTGTCACTTCTAGAATAGTTTTCACCAAGACTTTGTTTTCTTTTCTTTTTAATTAGATCGAGATTATCGCTCTCAGCTTTATGATGACGGACACCAAATACTGTGGTATTCCGAAACAGGTAAAGAGCACATAGTCTTTTTTTTCAGTCATCAAAATTTCTAGTAAGGTAAGTTGGGCGGCATACCATGTTTTACTGCTGCCTCTACGACTATTGATGCTTTTTGCTCGCCCCCTCTCACGCCAAAAACAAAAGCCTAAAGCTGGTGCCAACACGAGACATGCGCAGAATGTCTACCGAACTAAGCTTTGTTGAGGACACGAAAGAATGCAACATACGAGTGTCCGCTGTGCCTAAAACTGGTACTATAATCGCAAGCTCATGTCCTATTCGCAGACAAGTAGCCGAGCCACTATTAGACTATGCACCAGACAATGCACCATGCAATGCACCACACATTGCACTATGAGAAAGGTGTGTTAGAAAAACATAGCACACAGTTAAACCATCCAATTACACGTGTCTTCAGTAGCCATAATTCACTGCTTTGGTCTACCTTTGCAGCAGCAATGAAACTTTGTTACCTATGTTAAAAGTGCACTTAAGGAACGGTCTAGCATCTAACACCTAAAAACAGTGCCTCGAAAAATCTTTCAACTACTTGGAAATGTGTGAGGCAAAAATGGCAAGTGGCGAAAATGGCACTGATTTACATGGAGAAAGGCATCTGCGGTTATTTCCAATGAAAGTTGTTGGATGCATTTGTTACCTGGCGTAGCCTTGGCCATGGAAGCAGTGATCGTGGCTGTCAATGACTTGAACTTCTCTTCACGTTCATCAAACTTTTTCTGCAAAAGCACGAGAATATGCGATAAGTGTTGAATTGCATTATAATATAAATGGTGATCACAGGAATTTGCACCCATCTGTTGAGTTGAATGCTCTAACATCAAAATTAAAAACAAAAAAAAAAAAAAATAGAGGTTATCAAACACAACTTTTAGAGCAAGTCAAGTACATACGATCCAAAGAGTGCCATCCGGAATTCAATTGCATCGTCGACACTCGTCATGTGTCATCAATGTGTCGACATCGTCGACACATCGTCAAAATTGTGAGAAGTTGCTTCTAGACATTAATACAAAAGAATTATCCTATGCTAGAACTGGTAAAGTTAGCAAGCTTTTTTTCTCTCGCATTGCACACTATGAAGACTTGCTTATTGAAAACACAAATGAAGCGGTGAAAAATATATGGTTCACATACCATCGACACTCGGACAGCATGAACGATAACGGCTTAGCTAGCTACGTCTGAATCCCAGAGTTACGCAGCCTGCTACAGTGGAACCCCAATTATATAACTTTCAGGGAACCACGTAAAACCGTTGTATAATTCGGGCATTGTATAATCGAAAAACTGAGGTTATAGGCAGAGACACTCAGTTTTGCCCAAAAAACGGGTACAGACAGCTTGAATAGAACCACGGCATGACCTCGTGCCTCTGCAAGGAAGGTAGATTAAGTTATTCTAGCCAGTGGCAGCTAATAGCAACATTACAGTGAAACACCTTTAATACGTACCTGCCGGGGACGGCGGCATAACTACGTACTAAACGTACTACGCATTAACCCCAAACTACAAATTTGCATCTCCTGACATCAAAGGAAACACCAACAAAGGTGACATCAAAGGAAACACCAACACCATCGCCGCCAACAAAGGAAGAAACTCGGTGCCACAAGAAATATTGCCTGAAGTGCCCACCGCAAAGCCATTCCTTTCTTTTTGCCAAAGTGCAGAAAAGTTTCTGACTCTCGCACAACTGTGCAATAGCACGCGGTGGTGATGCCTATGAGCATTTCGAAACTACAGCAGGATCAGGGATATGCATCATGGTACTGCGACAGAACAGATTCAATCGGCTGTCCATGATAGTTTTTCTGCGGTCTGCGTCTCTTAGCGAAAACTGACCCAGTGTTGTTTTTTAAAATGCGGTACAGTCGCAGAGAGCCAAATCCTTTACTGCATGGCTAGTTGCGTGCAGCGCTTCGCTCACTCTGCGCACACCGTGACTGCTGATCTTGCTTGCTTTAAAGTACACCTTCCTTGCTTCAGGTCATGCACAGATTCGTCAAGTAGTCTGCTGGGTTAACGCAATGACGAAGAGCTTTCCGCAAGCAATGTGCTCTCCGCAATGTTCTGGTTCTTGGCAGCGTACGAAGGCGCGTTTGGGCTGTCGCTAAATAAAGGCGTCCAGCAGGGTAACAACAGTGCTACGCTCGCTGTACGGTGCGCGTGTTGTTATAATACAGCAAGGTTTCCTGATGCCCGTGACCCGCAACACTAAACTGCGCGACAGCGAGCTGCATGCGTTTCTGTAAAGCGGTGCGCGCTTGAACACGGTCCTGCAAAACAAAGCGGTAGCGATGGACGGCTTAGCGCGTTCAGGTAGTCGCCTAATAAAAGCGTGCAGTAGGCGTAAAGTGGCGCTTTGCCACACGGGTGCCCGAGCAGAAAACCGGGGATGCTTACTGTGGTGAGGTTTTCTGCCGGCAATAAGTCATACCGGCACGTTAGTCGCTGCTCGCCACCTAGCCTTTATTTTTTACCTGATGGTTACTCGTAATGTCGTCGCCGCAATCGGGTGGAAGTTGGAATAACTTATCGGCTGATCTCCGCGCTTATCAACAGGACGGGAAATCGTTCATGGCACATTGTGGGGTCTGCAAGTTCGTTCAGCACGCAGTAAAATTTCGTGGCACAAAATGTTATCATGGAACACAGTTAGTACGTACTAACCGGTAGGCATTTGCCGAACACTACGACATAAGCGGCCCGCGAATGCATTAGTCTCTATAAGACTCGGTCGAGGATTCACCACAACTACGTTTTAATCGTTAGTACGCTTAAAGTGGATACACACTAATGACGTTTGACGGTACATAGTTTGAGGAGGTGTGAGCGAATCTTTATCCTCAACTTTAAAAAAACTGAATCCTATGCACATCTTTCAACCGATAAACAGAGTCCAAAAACTGTCTGTGCGTGCAAAGAAAACAAAAACCGCATTGCGAACGGCCTCCCGTCAGAAAAGTCAGACACAGTATAATCGCTATCACATAATAGGGATGGACTATGAGATTGTGTAGAATGCCTCGGCACGCGAGTGAGCTGTGTGCGTTGCAATTTGTTGCCTTGTGAAGTGCAACTAGTGATGTCCTGCTGTTAATATGACCGTTGACATCAAGTGAAAGTAATTTTGCATGGTGAAGGCAGCCACATCATGCCCTTATGCACTCAAGCCTGTGACTGCGAATGCAACAAAAGCAGATCAGCTGTATGTCGACCAAAAAAAGTTTCCACGGACTGTAATTGTGAATATACCAGATTTTCAGCCTGCTAATGCTACTTTGAGTGGAAAGAGCTTGAATAAATAACGACCCCGGATACGTACGCGCACAATTGAGGCGTATGTAGAAGCGCATGAACTTCCAAGAGAATAAATTTTCCATTCTAAGAGGACATCCTGTCTCCCTCTCTACTTTTTTAATCGTCAATCTAGGGGAACACAAGTTCATATTTTGCACTGGTGAATATTTGGTTGACGTTTGATTCGAATAAATGTGGTTTTTCCTTTCGAATCCAATCTGAAAGTCATTGTAAGATGCAAGGTAGGTGTAAAATTGTGTCGTATAACCAAGGTTTTTAATACTATTTCTATGGGAATTTTGCCAGGACTGAATCGAATCATTGTCAAATCCGGTCGTCGCGAAATCGGGGAATGTGTAATCGAAGTTCCACTGTGCATAAAAAAACATATACTTTACGCTGACCATGGCTGGGTACAGCATTCGAAAATAGGCCTTTCATTGTATAGAAATGATGTATGAAAGAACTGATGTCTTGAATCTAGTCCCATATTCAAGGTCTTGGATCTAGTCCTATATTCAAGAACTCAATGATTATAACCTTATGCTCTTAATTTCATTATTTCTTGTTGTATAAGCAATTGTTTTGAGACTGTAGAGGCAAAAAATAAGTAGGAGGGAGCATCATGAGAAAATTTCATGAAATCAAGCCATAAAAAATGAAATAGGCGCATGGTCGTCAGTGAGCACCGGCAACGTCCGAGGAGTTTGGCGTGTGGACGCTGGGTGCACACACTCGTCAATTTTCATTTTTGTTCCCGTGTGCACCAAATATGAAAGTGAAACAGAAACACCATATAAAATGTGCACTAGCACGAGCCGTGTGTTGCAATATTCACCGTAGATGGCTGTATAGACAGCTAGGTGGATGGCGGCCGTTTTTGAGTCCCGTTCAGATTCTCACGCAGTCGGAAAAATAGCTTCGAGAAGACAGCATCGTAGAAAAAAACGATGCAGGCTACTTTGCTGTCCAAACAAGATGGCGGCTCAGCGAATAGTTCACATAGCTTGAATCTCGCCGGAGTGGTCGTCTGCACACTAGCAGACACTTCTGCAGGTGCTCAATGAAAATACCACTCAATTTTTCTTAGATTTGAACATGAAATAAGTTAAAAAGAATAAGAGTTACGCTTGTTTACTTTAGCTGTCTCTTCTAGATGCCAGGTGGTGTCTCGTCGCGTGGACGCCATTCTGAGGCGTTCCATTTCTCAAAAAACATGGGCTTGATGCTGTCTTCTAAGCTGTCAGTGTACTGAATACGATGGTGTCTGGATTTGAAACACAGCCCAGGAGCAAGCAGCTTCGAAGGACGTTGGTGTGTAAAGGCTAGGCGTACTTCGTCCAGATTTTTTTTCCTTTCTCCATGTTTGGAACATTGAACTCGGTCACTACTCCCAATTTTTGCAGTGAAGGCATGTTGCACACATAGAAATATAGAGGTACCATGCAAAACATTAATGTCCGGGCCTCTTACCAGGTACAACTCTCTCCATGTTTCTCCCGCGTCTGGACAACTGCTCTTGAATTCCCTAGTACAGTGTACTTGCCACAGTTCATCAGTGTCGTCGAGGAGGTACTGGGAAATAGGAAAACATGTAAAGGACAAGGTTAAGACTTTCTGTTGGAATCAAACAAAATGGAACACTTCAACAAGGATTCCGTGCCTCCATTACACTGCATCAAGAAGCCTGCGCAACGATTTTCAATAGTAAACTGCAGGTAAACTAGGTTCTCATTAACTTCAGAACGAAGCTGCCACATTTTTAAAACATCGTTTCTCATGGTAAATTACTAAGTGAGGCCATTCGCACCCATTTATGCACCGCACACAATGAATACACAAAGTTTTGCTCCCACTAAAAAGGCATGGATAGATGCGACAAACCGCAAGACATTGCAATATTGCTGTTGAAACTGCAAAATTAAACACCACTTAAAATTGCACAAAACTGACCACATTAAACTGGTGCAGACATGCATAAAACTGAAGCACATGAAAAATTTCTTGTAGCACATAGCCGTGGCACCATTTTACACACAAGTAGATTAAATGGACGTTAAAGGGAACCAATGGCTTGGTTTAGCTTGACAAACTGCACTCTGAGAACTCTAATGCTATATGTTTCACTATCACAAGTTCATTAGAGGAGAAAATCACGATTGAATTTTCATTTTTAAATTTTGCGTCAAAATTTTCGTGCGTGACGTCAACCATTTCAAAATGTATTTTTCATTCTTTTCTCGCCATTGGCTCAATAAAATTTTCAGAAACTTCGTATGCTAAACCTATGGCACTCACAAATGACAATGTGCTTCATTTTTATTGATTAGGAGCTACGTAGGACTCACTAGACACCTTCAAAATCTACTAGTTCACGGTGTTTAGTGCGAAAATCTCGAGGTGGCATCTCAACCTGCATTCTCTTTTCACGTGTTTTCTCGCTTACCAAGTGTGCTGTCACGGTGAGAGCGATGTTTTCGAGATCGCGAAATTATGCTCTATATTACACAAAAAATCTTTTTGCACTTTAGTGTCCCTATAACAGTAAAGCATATGACACATGCTTGTTCACAAAATACACATTCTTTGAATGCATAATTTGCCACCAAAAAAACACACGCATAAAATAAAGACGAGGACAACGACATGGGCAGCACTTCCAATTAAATTTATTTGTGTTAAGACATAAAGAATATATGCCGAAAAATACAATGCATGCACCCCAAGCAATAAACTTAGCTAACAAGGCAACCAAGGCTTAATAAATCCAATCTACAAAGAGTAAAGTTGTAATGACGGTTCACAAATGCACAATTTAGCAAGCTTCTGGATGTAAAATGCTTCTAAAGATTCCCAGGCTGTTTGTTTATTGCCCCTACTAAAGATCTTTACGTTACCGAATCGTGGTTCCCATTTGCAAACTTTGTGATGCACAGGCAAACACGCGCATTTGTTTTCTTTACTTAAAATTAACTCACATTCCCTGGTTTGCATGCTAACACAGTGCCCGGTCTGCCCAACGTAAGACGTGCCACAAGCCGGGGGGGGGGGGGGGGGGATTTCGTACATTATTTCTGTCTCACATTTGGTATACACAGAACTATGCCTCCTGCCTTGTTGTCTTGTCCAGTCACCAGATATACAAGGGCACAGCTGACCCAGCTAACTGGGGCTGAGAAGGCAAGTGGTACACTATACCTGCCTACCACCATACCTACCTGCACCTCACTAACTAGGTCAAGAATAAGTTCTTCTCAAGCCCTTGTTTTTTGTTTTGTCCTAATCATCCCTTGGTTATGTATTTATTCTGAAAATAATTAACAATAAAAATGTGTGGCACTGTAAGCGTACTGAAACATAGCTAGTGAGATGGGCATGGCTGGTTTAGTTAAGATGCTTCCGACATACAGGCAATGTATCTGATGTACTTATACGCATAGGCCTCCCTTGTCAGATTTCATATCCTTCCCAAATAGCTTTCACCATTTCAGTATGTAGGAATCTCGGGGAAAAAAATAAAGCTTAACTAGCACTGATCGACCTAAAATTAAGAAACATACCCAAAAAAAGGAAAAAAAAAAAAGCCGAGACTACTGCTCTTTCTATGTAATTTCACAGGATGCTCCAAGAGGAGTCAGTCAAGCTTACATATATTATGAGACCACGTCCGGTACGGCAGTAACCAGGTTATCTTTTTAATCCAGACGCGCGAGCCAGAGAGCCAGCCCGCGTGACATACGATGATGATCACTACAATGGTTTGGTCATACAGATGAAGATGAAGTACATAGTCAGCGCTCACACTATTTTCCCCCCTTCGCGAAAGAGGGCAGCAAGTTAGAAAGGGTTGGGACGCCGAATATATCGTTTCAGTCGAGAGACATGGGCGATCTTGGTGTGGCGGCGACGGTGATCAGGAGCCGCGTTGACAGGAGCAACGCGATAGTTGACTTCAGATGTTCGTTCCAGGACGGTGTATGAACCGAGATATCGGTGAAGGAATTTTTCGCAGAGCCCAGATACACGAACAGGTGTCCACAAAAGGACTTCGTCGCCTGGGCGGAACACAACAACTCGACGCTTCGCATCAATGTCGATTTTTCTCTTGTCCTGAATGGTAGCAGTGTTGGCGCGGGCAATTTCAAGGCAGCGGGCGACGCGAGCGGCGAACTCTTCCGGGAGAGACGAAGATGGATTGGAAGATGTGGACAAAAAGGTGCTGTCCAGAACAAAAGTCGGTACACGGCCATACACAAGAAAAAAAGGGCTGAAATTCGTCGTACGCTGTAAGGCAGTGTTATATGCGAACGTGACGAAAGGAAGTATTGTGTCCCAGTTTTTGTGATCCGGTTGCACGTACATAGAGATCATGTCGGACAAAGTTCGGTGAAAACGCTCAGTCAGACCATTAGTTTCTGGGTGATACGCTGATGTGGTCTTGTGGATGGTGTTAGAGGCCTGTAAGACTTCAGCAAGGACATGTGAAAGAAATGTCTTGCCACGGTCACTAAGGAGCACACGCGGTGCGCCATGTCGTAAAATAATGGCGCGAAGGAAAAAATCGGCTACTTCAGAGGTAGCACCAGATGAAAGAGCTGCCGTCTCCGCGTAGCGAGTAAGGTGGTCTACGGCAGTAAGAATCCAACAGTGACTGGCTGGCGTAAGCGGAAGAGGTTCGTATAAGTCTATGCCCACAAATTCAAAGGGAGTGGACGGGCACGGCAGTGGTTGCAATGGCCCCGCGGGAAGAGACGTGGTACGTTTTCGGCGCTGGCATGACGCGCAGGAAGCGACGTACTTGGCGACAGAAGTGGAGAGGCCAGGCCAAAAGCAGCGAGTCTTGAGGCGGTCGTAGGTCTTGTGGAGCCCTAAGTGACCAGCTGTCGCATCGTCATGAAACGCTTGTAGAACTTCCAGACGAAATGAGCGAGAAATGACGGGAACCTATTGGTTACCAAGAGGATGGTAAATTTGCCGACATAATGTTCCCTTTTGAAGCTTGAAACGGGCAAGTTGTCGTCTTAGGCGGCTGTTTGGAGCGCCCGATAAGCCAGTGAGCCGATCGATGATTGTGCGGCAGTAGGTATCGGCATGTTGGAGCAAGGCGAGATCTGTGGACGAAAGAAGGTCCGCCGAGGCAACTAACTGTTTCCAAGCATGAGCCGTCTGTTTGGTCACTTTGGCAGGCGGTGACGAACAGATGGAAGGGGACACTTCGGCGTTTTGCGAGAGCGGGCAACGGGACAAAGCGTCGGCATCTTGGTGCTCTCTGCCCGACCTATATGTGACGCTGTAGTCATACTCTTGCAATCGTAGTACCCAACGGCCAAGGTGTCCTGACAAATTTTTGAGAGACGATAACCAACACAGAGCATGATGGTCAGTCACTATTGTGAAATGCCGGCCGTATAAGTAAGGACGAAACTTTTGTACGGACCACACGATGGCGAGACATTCTTGCTCAGTGATGCTGTAGTTTCGCTCAGCAGGTGACAGAGTACGGCTCGCGTAGGCCACAACTTGTTCTTCGGAAGCGTGGTTCCACTGAAGAAGGACAGCACCGATGCCAAGTCCACTTGCATCAGTGTGTAGCACAGTAGGTGCTGCAGGGTCGAAATGGCGAAGCACTAGCCGTGATGTGAGGCATCGCTTGAGGGTGTGAAAAGCGGCTTCGCAGTCATCCGACCAGGCAAAGGGTGTGCTTGTGGTCAGAAGTTTGTGCAGAGGAGCCGCAATAGTAGCAAAATCACGTACAAAGCGGCGGAAATACGACGCTAAGCCAAGGAAGCTGCGGAGGTCTTTCTGTGTGGTTGGTGTAGGAAAGTGCAGTACCGCGGCAACCTTGTCGGGATCGGGCTCAACGCTATGTTTCCTGACGACGTGATCTAATACCTTGATGCTGTGACTGGCAAACCGACACTTCTTAGTGTTAAGCTGGAGGCCAGCCTTAGCTAAACACGTGAGGACTTCGTCTAGCCGTTCCAGGTGCTGTGAGGAGCTGGACGAAAAGATGACAATGTCGTCCAGGTAGCAAAGGCAGGACTTCCATTTTAATCCCCGCAGTACCGTGTCTATCACCCGTTTGAATGTGGCTGGGGCATTGCACAGGCCGAAAGGCATTACATTGAATTCAAAGAGCCCATCTGGCGTAGCAAACGCAGTCTTCTCTATATCAGACTCGTGCATTAGAATTTGCCAATAACCGGAGCGCAAGTCGAGACTAGAAAAGTACTCAGCACCTTGTAAAGTATCAAGAGCGTCGTCAATGCGAGGCATTGGGTAGACGTCCTTACGAGTGATTTTGTTGAGTGATCTGCAATCAATGCAAAACCGTACCGAACCATCCTTTTTTTTTCACTAGTACGACAGGAGAAGACCATGCGCTTGTCGAAGGCCTGATGACGTTGCGCGCGAGCATGTTGTTGACTTGTTCTTTTATAAGCTTGCGTTCAGAAGCCGACACACGGTAAGGGCGGCGGCGAATCACACGGGATCCGTCGGTGTCGATACGATGGGCGGTCACTGTTGTTTGACCCAGACCTTCGGAACAACTGTCAAAGCAAGTTTTGTGCTTCATTAATAACGCTAGCAAGGCATCAGTTTGCGTTGGGTTGAGATGTTCACACAAAGTGGCCTTGAGAGCAGGAAATGCATCTTCCGCTGGCATACACTTTGAGACTGACGAAGCAGATGAACCAGTGACAACATAAAAGCGGTGCTTCTTCGGTAATGCTGGCAACAGTGGTCCCTTCTGGCAAAAGAAGTGGTTCTGGCGTCGTGTTGCAGGCCGTGATGCTTGCATAACCACGAGAGAACCGCACTAAACAAGATGCCAATGTGATCCCTCGAAAAATGCAGCGCTGGCAAGGAACAACCACAGCGTCACCATCTAAAATGTCTCGTGACTTGATCGTAAGGACACGTTCTTGTCCGGGAGGCAGGAGGAAATCCGCAGCTGTCACAAGGTTGGGCGACGGAAGTTCGGTAGCAGAAGAAAGCTCAGTGTCCGTAATACGAATGAGGGGCCGACCACACGAAATTACAGCAGACGCCGCTGACAAGAAGTCCCAGCCTAAGATTATCTGATGAGCGCACGAAGACAGCACAGCCAATCGTATGTGATGACGGATTCCATCGATGAGAACACGAGCAGTGCACAACCCGTTCGGGCGAATTGGACTGTCATTAGCGCCGCATAACATGGGACCGGCATAAGGAGTTTGCACTTTACGCAAGCAAAAACACAAAATCATGATCAATTACCGAAATTGCGGCTCCAGTGTCTATAAAGGCATTAACAAAAACACCTTCCACACAAACAGGCAGTAAATTAGCTGGACGAGACGGAGGGGTTGTAACGTTCCGACAACAAGCAGTTTCCCCTCCAAAAACTGCACCTTCTAGTTTTCCGAGCCCAGAGAGATCGGAGCGGGACGCAGGGGTGATGACGTACGTCGAAACGGTGACGGGGAACGGCGGCGAGATGAACGAGAAGGATGAGGACCAGCATGAGACCGTGGAGGGGAGGGCGACTGACGGGAGGTGGATGGATACGGTACGGGATCGTATTTGTCGGGTCTCGGGGCAAAGTCTCTCTCGTAAGCTGAGTAACCACGTCGTTCATCCTGCTGACGGCCGCGGCAGAAACTGGATATATGACACCTTATGCTACAGTAGAAGCAGATGGGGCGCGGAGGACGCCATGTAGAATAGTGGCGTGGCCTTGGCGCTTGGGTTGTCATCGCAGCCACATGGTCGCATCTGACGTCCGCAGGCACGGTTGGAACTGGTGCAGGGGCCCGCGATGCAACTTCTGCGTACGAAGGCACTGGGAAGCGCACAGGAGACGGGGCATGTGCAGCGCTTGTCATTGATGCCAGTTCGTCCTTGATTATTTCTCGCAGGTTGGGAGGAGGTGTGTGGGCAGACGCAATGGTTGGGTTGCCTGGAGTAAGGCCGTGAAGTTCTTCTCTGACAATTGTGCGGATAAGGGCTCGCAATTCATGCTCTTTGGTAAAGCGAGCGTCGCAGGAGGCATGTGGAAGGCGCATGGAATGAAGTGCGTCCAGGCGTTGGCATGTAGTGATGACGTCCCGGACGGTTGTTGGATTCTGGATCACGAGAGCATTGAAGGCCACAAAGTTGATACCTTTCAGTAGATGTCGGATGCGATCGGCCTCCGTCATGTCATTTTGTGCTCGGCGACAGAGAGCCAGAATATCTTCAATGTAGGACGTGTACGATTCATCGTCCCACTAAATGCGGGTTGCGAGCTTCTGTTTCGCTACTACAGAGCATACTGCAGACATGCCGAACACCTGACGGATATGCCCCGTGAAGGCCGACCAATTGGAGAAGTCGCTCTCGTGGTGGTAATACCAAGTTTTAGCGACGCCATCGAGGTAAAAAGGAACGTAGCGCAGTTTGTGCGCCTCGCCCCAATAATTACAAACGCTGGTTCGATCATAACTGTCCAGCCATTCTTCGACGTCTTCGTTGTGAAGGCCGGAAAATACCGGAGGGTCTCGATGAGAGGTACTCACGGTGTAGTGAAGCCTAAGTGGCTGAGAAGGAGCGGTTGCAGCAGCGGACGCGTTGGGTTCTGCCATCGCTGTTGCTTGAGGGCACAACCGTCGACCAGACCGGAGCTCCAGGGGTGACGGGTAGAGCAGGAGGACGTGGAAACCAAAGCACGCTCCACCACTTATGAGACCACGTCCGGTACGGCAGTAACCAGGTTATCTTTTTAATCCAGATGCACGAGCCGGAGAGCCAGTTCGCGTGACATACGATGATGATCACTACAATGGTTTGGTCATACAGATGAAGATGAAGTACATAGTCAGCGCTCACAATATATAAACATACGCAGAAAACTGAGGAAGAACCTCCATCCAGAAGCAGGAACATTGCAGTTGAAACTCACAGGATTGTAGTCTTCGAGAGTGTACAGTTGCTTGGGGGTACACTTCTCTAAAATTGGCCTGAGGATGTCATATGGAACGCCTCCTGTGTACGCCATACCTGAAAGATGACGGCAGCGGGATGACACAACAGTACGAACGGCCCACATTTTTTTTTTTAATCCATGCAAGCTATAAAGGAATTAGGCTGTGCGAAACATTCGGGACTTCCAGTACGAATCGGACAGTACTGTCTTTCACATTACAGTTGCACTCTACGCATTCAAGAATTTGCATACACATTCAAGTTGTCTATATCTTTTTATCCTAGTACAATGACAAACAACCATGCTAAAAGGTATGCAGAGGCATAACTACTGTCAAGCAGAGCTCACAAACAGACAACAGCTCATGCTCAATTATATGTAGCCATTCAATAGGAATGCCTTGTGTTCTGGTAGCTTAAAGTTAATTTTCTTGATTTTGGCATATAAATTTATCACCGTATGTATCAAATACCGTATACAAAGCTTCTTCTCTTTTGGAAAATGTAAGTGATTGTCCGAGTTTGTTCATTTCAGAGGGAACCAATAGCTGGCATTCGCTTTGATGTTTGAAGAACGTTCATATTCAACTCTCAAAGGAAACTTCACAACTTGTGTGCTCCCGTGAAAAGGCGATAAATAAACCCCTCTTAGCTTACCTTCTACGTTGTCTATGAGCACCTTGAGACACATGTCGTACAGAGTTGGAATCTCTACAAGATGAAAAAAAAAAAAAAATACATGTGAGTGACTTTCCGGTATTGGTAGCGCAACGTAAGGCTGCTGTATGCCATGCCATGTTATTGATTGGCAAGCTTTACACATGTAAAGTTTTCATACTTGCACGTATCTACGCACTGCACACATATACATTGGGTGTAAAGCCACATCTTTGAAAAATGTAACCTCCTACTTTCGTTTTCTCTCGTAAACAACCTATCAATACAATTAGCAAAAATAGTTTTTAAGAACAGCTTGGCAGTCTGAATTGATTTAGTGTTTTCCTAGCGTCCCTCCAGATGCTCGAAAGCAATGCAAGAGCTACGTCGGGATGGCTGCGACCGTGGCTCAAGACTAAAGATTTATCCCGACTTTCTTTGTGTGGCTTTTTATGTGTGCAATTGAAATACAGCACATCAATTTCGTCTTGTATTGCTCCCACTAAAATGCAGCCACTAGAACCAGGAGTCAAATCGGCAATATGTTATGTGGCAACAAAACACAGCGACCTTAACCAAGCATCATAGCAGATTTACACTTTAACGAACTTAATGAGGCACAATTTGTAAAATTTAATTGCAATAAACATGCAAAGTTATCAGCACTTGAACTAGACACGAGAAATCAAACTATACGAAAAAGAAAAACTATCTTATACCCATGCCACACGGGCACAGAAAATTGCATGATTTCTAATGCCTCAAGATTTATTGCCATTTGGACGGAGCTAGACAAACAAATAAAATGGTAATCACCTTAACGTGATTTGCCAACAAATTACTCCGCTAGAACTCAGTCAGCAGAGAAGTGTGGACTTTCAAGACCAAAGCTTGCTCAATAATATAATTGCTGGTGTTTACCATCACGAGACCACGTTATGATTATGAGGGGAACCATAGTGGAGGGCACCAAGCGTTTCGATCCCTTGTGGTTCTTTAACATGCACCTAGGTCTAAGTGCACGGCCTTCAAGCATATACACTTCCATCGAAAATGCAGCCACCATGGCCGGCACTCGATCTTGCGACCTTCAGGTGAGCAGTCGAACCCGCAACCACAAGGCCATCACAAAGGGTCAAAGCTTGCTCAGTGCAGCACAAGTGAAACACTAGAAACAGTGTCTATCACATAAAAATTACTTTGTACATGACCTTGAACAAATACTAGCATGCTACTCTCTAGTTGCAATAAAGTGAAATGTCATTTAGAACCGCAACAGCTTTGATGATAGTTGCCATGTTGCTCTTGGGCTTCAACATGCAATGGCCAAAGTTTGTTTTTAATGTTGTAAAATACAGCTGGACTTAAGTTAACAGCCTTGTGATGTGCTTATTTTTACATTTTACTAGCCTTAAGTGCAAACTAGACTTCTTAAAATGCTTGTTTAGTTTCTGTCATTTCCTGAAATTCTATGTCAAGGGTACACCTAATGTTTTGTCATGAACACTTTTTTTAAATTTTTATTACATTTATTACTGTAACTATAAGGTGGAAAGTAGTAGCCATCAATATTATAGGAAGTGTAACATATTTGAATTGAAGAATACATCAACAAATTATAGCATTAATGCTACCATTGTTTCAGAGACGCTCTCTCTTTTGCACATGTAACAAACAATCGCCCACAGAACTGTGACTGTCATTGACAGCGCAAATTTTTACCTACCGGACAGAGCACATTTCCGGCCGGAGTAGACTAGCGTCCTGTCCTTTCGTGAAGACGTGAAGACGATGGCTTCCTCATTCGTTAAGTCTGCATAAGAAAACAATTAAGTACGAATTATAGATTGCCAACCATGAATGATTGTGCTTTCCAATGGCATTTGTACGAAGGAATAAAATTAAAGGAAGAAGGTTTTCTCACTTTTCTTGAGTGGTTTTGATGGTGGATCATCAATAAATGACCGGTGTGGCAGTGGCTTGTACACAGGTTGTATCTCGGGCAGCATTGACGAAACTTCGTCCCTGTCCAAGGGAGGCAAGTCGGGCTGTAGGGGCAGAAAAAAACGACCTGTAAGTAAGTGCCACATGATTTGTGCTATATAAAGGGAGCTCTAAAATAAGTACAATTACCGAAGTCAGCAATCACCACAAATTATGGGGAACCAGTGTAACAAATCAAAAATTCCACAACTTCTTGAAGCGGCTTATGAAATTATTCGGTTCCCGCAGAATGTTGCACATCTCAAAGCCCATAGTTTGATAATTGCACTGCAGCTTTTAAGGCCGTTTCACGTGATGCAACCTGCAGCAATTTTCAGGCTGTCAATTTGCTCGTGGCGAAGTGATGGCTGATCACTCTCGCCACAATGGTAAGCAGCGATCAACCAATATGTTGTACATTTTTTGGTCCGTTCGCAGCAGTGGAGTGGTTGGGATCGGTCGAAATTTTGCCGAGCCGGATTAGCCATGGCAATTGCACCAATGACATTGTTTTGGTTCAGGCTGCCTTTACATGCCTTAAAATGAACTTCATGAAATCTTAACGGCGTCATAACCGCAGATTATTGCATTGCATTTTAAAATTTATACAATGCCTACCACAAGGAATGGTAGCAAAGCAACCTCGCACTTCGTGCCAGTCACAGAGTGAAAATCGCGAACCATTCGCAGCCCAGGTGAAATCTAACAGTCATTAATGTCCGTTGCCATGAGAGGGAACCGAAGCGACTGTTTTCATTACGAACGCAGCTTGTAAAATAGCCTTGACTACCTAGTGCAGACACACTAAAAAAGAGCACAGGCATCAATGTAATAGTGGCAGCAAAAAGTGAATCAGGAATTCATAACTTATGATGGGTGCTTTTTAATGTGACATAACCTGGTGCTTCCCCACTAGGAGACAAAAAAACTGCTGCTTCTAGAGTACTGACAACCTTTACTCTCCACTGCCTATGGCGAGTGATGAAGCAGTGTTAGAACTTGTTGCAGGATTGTAACTAGGATTTTTTTTTTTTTGGAGTGGCGCGGCAAGTTCTACATCTTTGTGTTTGAGCATCCAAAGCACACATAATACGTAAATGCAAAACAATTTTACGAAGGGTTTGAAACTGTCCAACTGTTAGGCTACATCTTATGTCTACTAAAATGGACAAGAAATCACAGCTCTTGCCACGGGCACTCACATGGACCGGGACAGTTTTCGGGGGAATATGGCAGGCACATGGTTTACCTATGTAGGGAAGCTATGGCATGACTAACATCCAGAATGTTGTATTATTGAACGTGCCATGCAAGCACCAAGCAAAAGAGGCAAGACGTGATTCTGTGAGTAGTGTGATGTGCAAATAGTGTCATACTAACGAACACACACACGACAAGCTTTTGCAGAGCTCCAGAAAATTTCAGAAGTCAGAACAGCCGTTCTTCTGAAATGCTGTGAATCGCATTAGTGAGGGCACTGTAGCTGTGCAAAGAGTAATCGAAGGGACACCATGAGAAAGACTGCTCTGCACTGGTAAACTCAATTTTCGCACATTTAAAGGCAGTAGGACAATTACTAGAGGACAGAGGTCAAAGTCTCATTTTTTAAGCCCACTGTCAACACATTGCTGTTACTGGCAGCATAGCATTTCAGATTTCAAATGACTACTATAGATTTTTTTGTATTTCGGCCACTGTGGCTAAATAGAAGTTTCTCAAATGCATAAGTAGTACTTCTATCCTAATGCAACGAGAAAACTGTATCCATCCGTTCGTCCCCCTGTCACGCAAGGCGAAACACTATGAAGAAATGAATGTACTGTACAAGACAAAATAAGTTTTGTAGTCTAACTAAGGTCTCCAAGCTCCAAAACAGAGTGTCTTACCCACTGAACTGGAAAGGACGCTAGAAAAAATGGCAATATACCTAAACCATGTGAATGCATTGTACCGGCAGTACAAAATAAATACAAAATGAAAACAGCTTATATGAAAGCTTTTGAGATATTTCGAGGCTGTGGAATAAAAGTCCTCTCTTGGGACAAGATGTAAAGCCGACATTCAAGACTGCAAGGATCAGGAAAATTCAGACTTGGCGAAAATTTAGGGAGACACGCGCTCAGGTGGTGAGAATATGAGACTGCCGTAGGACCGTTCGAGATGCTGACAAACATTAGAAAGAAGCTGAAAAATACCACCCTAATGACCCTGACAACAAAATTCTAGGAAAAGCCGCAACCAATGAGTTTCCTACAGTAAAACTCTATTCTTACATACTAGTTACACAAACTCCCGAAGGATATTTTGTGAAAGATATAAAAAAATTAAGTCCAGTTTTTAATCTTTGTTTACAAAGCTGCAGCTGTAATCAGCATACCAGTGAAAACTTAATTAGGTCGCCAAAATTCATAGGATTTCTCTATGTAAGCTGGCACAGGGGCTCTAAACCAGATACCACAGAAGCACTGAACTATCAAAGATCATGAAGCAAAAGCTACCTTGTGAATGATTTATTTGATGAGATAAAAACATAAGTGTGGTCCTTTTAGCCAGTAATGCAAATACCCTTCTGCTTATGATTCAACATACCAGCTCACCAATCGAGGTCAGCAACGAGTTCGCCCAGCCGCGAAAGCACACACAGCACCTCCTGAAACACAGCTTTTAAATAGATACTGTCGCAAAGAACAGCCAGCTGCCAACTCACTCACACATGGCAGCACATTACTGCTACATTTTTGCAGTGCTGTGAGCCATCAAATGGACTCGCAGTACACTCAAACCTCGCTATAACGAACCCTGATATAATGAAATATTGGTTATAACGAAGTAAACTAAAAGTATTCTTGCGGTATATGTAGCGTTAAAAACAAACCTTCATAATGAACAATTTGGATACAACGAAATTATTTTCGTGTAAGACGCAGCTTTGCTACAATGAGGTTTGAATATATGTCTAAAAGGTGTGACAACTCACCCATACAGCTTCACGGTCATTTACATATCAGATCATCATACATCTGCAGAGAATCCTTTTCTCACCCATTCCCCCCAAAGTGCAAGCAATTGCGACAAAGCTACCAACTAGAAAGGGCAGCCCACCTTTCGCAGAGCCTCAGGCATGAGCTGCTCCTTTTTGTTTGAATGTTTGCTGCTCCTGCTGCCGCCGCTGCTATGACCACTGCTCTCACCATTTTTTGAACGAGAAGGATTCGGCGCCCTTGGAAGAGTGCTGCTTGGTGGCCTCCTTCGTGGGCTCAACCCTAGATGGGTGCTGCTTCTTGGAAGGACTGACGGCCTGGGGCTTTTTCTTGGGCTTGGGCAGGGGCACCGTGTCGTTGAGGCCGAGACAAGCCTCGAAAGACGCTATGGAGCCGTCTAGGCCCCCTTCACTGTGACCTGCCTTCTTGAGAAGCTTCTTCATCTGTTTCTTATCCACCTTCTTTTCGGCACTTTTCTTTGGAGGTGGGTCGACCTGTGCGCCGTATTACGAGTTTATACAACTGTGCCAGAGCATGCACCATACATAGAGTTTACTGAAACCCAAGAGTACTGCAAAAACATATTGTAACAGAAGTTATCAACCAAAAGCAGTCCGCCAGTTGCAGGACACTCTAGTACTAAACGCCTAGCAATTAAAATGCTCCAATTAGCAATCATTGACCACATATCACTTCGTAAAGTAGAGATGTGCGTGCATTTAACATTTTTCATGTGATGTAGAGGTGTAAGCAAACAACTGTTTTTTTTTTTTGGTCCATTTAATGCTTCTCAGAATAAGCTTCCAGTGTTAGTGGGTGCTTGTCCGGTGTCCTCTTTACGCAAACATTTCTGCAGTTCTCCCCGCATATTCAAAATATACAGTCATAAGAGCTGTTGGGGTTGCAGCTCCTCTTGAAATTACCTAAGCTTCTGATAAACACTGCAGAGTCGAACAGCATTAAACCCTGTGCATGAACAGAAAGATCCCATCTTACCTTTGGTGGTGGTGGTGCTGGTGGTGGTGTAGCTGCCCGTTCTTCCTTGTGGTGATGTCTAGATGAGTTCTGGTGGTGATGGTGGTGGCCATGGTGATGCCTGTCGTTTTGGTGGGTGTCGCCATTCTGTCTGTGGCGGGAGTGTGTAGAAGCATTCTCGATGGGGCTAGACGTTTCGACTTCAATGGAGTATGGCTTCGATGTCCGACTAGCTTTAACTGGCGGCCCATCTTGCTTGCCCTCGTGGTGTCTCTTCGATGACACTGGCGGAAGCTGCTGCGGCTCGGGATATTCAGCCGTGGAGTCTGAGACCACCTGGAAGGGAGAAGCGTGAATGTAGGAAAATTAAGAACTGATAGCATCCTCAAAATGCATTGACATAGACAACAAAGCACTGTACTACATAAGTTTTAGACTAAGAACTACAGCTTTCCTTACATTCTACAAATTATCAGTGGAAACTTTAATTAATTATAAGGTTCCAGCGCAAGTGGGTGGAGTCCTCAGTCCAGGGTTCCATTGGCCCTTGCGGTACATTGGACTCGGGCAGCTAGCAGCCAGCTGCAGAGCTAGCTGGCTTTTCCAATACTTGCTTGCAAGCCAGGTTTTATGCTGCCTTGTTCGAAGTGTTGTCCTCAAAAGAACAGATTTGGTGTCCTGGGGCTGTGATTTGCCTTTTCCCATAAAATGGGTGACAATTAGCTGCTCCCCACACTATGGACAGCCGTGCACATATATTGCGGTGGTTTTGTGATGCTTTCTTTGTAACTGAGTGGACCTGACAGTTTGCACTCCATGCAAATGCTGTAGAAAATGTTCTTCCTAGAATGTTTGCAGCTTTCTTCTCTTCTTTCTCTTTTTTTACAGTAATTTTGCATTCCTGAATTCTTTATCTGCTTATAGTTTAATAAATTCATAAGTTGTGAAATGGTTTGTAGTCAGTTTACTTTTGTGTATGTGGCATGGGTCAATCAGTCTCATCAATTTAGTTTCGAATGTTATAAGAACTCGTGCTTTGTTTTTTTTTTGAATTCATAAAATATCATAGTTTGTATTCTAGCGCATTCAAGTTGCTGCATTCCATTCACTTTGTACTGTTATCATTTTATGATCACTTCACCTACGTGGTTGTGCTTCTAGTGTACCTATGACACTAAAACCCTGTTCATACATGTACTTTCGCTTTTTGTTTCATGGCAATCATGGAATGTACCGCTAAAATAAATAAATCAACCTTCTACTAAACCTTCTATTTTTTTATTTCAGCACAATTCGCCTCGCATACCTTCAACACCATTTTAAATGAATTTTGTCATCGTAGGTCTGTTATTAAAAAAGAAAATAAAGGCCAGGGTTGCCATTTTGAACTTTATGCCAAAACAATGGAATCCAAATGTTAAAGTGATCCAATGAAACTCAGCACCTTTGTGTATTCTGGCCACAGTGGTTCAAAAATTTTAAGACAGTTGTCATGTTCAATTTCTGGATCCCAGAGTAAACAATTCAATTCAGCTTTGCTGATAAAAAAATGGAAGAAGAGTTTAACAGGTGCCACGAAAATCTTTATATCCTCCTATGTGTTGGTGTGGAAAATTCAAGGCAAAGTTGACCCTTGTATTTTCATTCTGCAAGCATTTCGGTTAAGCAAGCCCCTTCTTGGGACGACAGAGATGTTTTTAGTTTTGTGGAAGGGAGTCTTGCCAAAAACAATATAAATTTCATTGTCAATGCCACTGACTTATTCTGAATACAGCTGGATCATTGCAGTGGGAAAAAGGGCTACAACATTACAAAAAAAAAAAAAATGAAATTATTTGCGCTTCAACCAATGCGAAAAGATGAACAGTTTCACTGCGCTGTCATCCCATGAAATCAGGCTTGTGCTGAAAATTGTCAGGTGGACAGGAAAACAGAGAAGAATTTAAAATGCCCTTGAACAACATATTATTCTCTCTGACAAGTTGTGAAGACCATCAAAAAATAACTGTGACAAGACATGAACAAATCAGAGCTTTGTAATTACAGAATACCTGCAGCTGCACTTTTCACGGGCTCTTTCAATGAGACAACACGTGCCTGTTGGGAGCACTATATAATCTGTTGAGGGAAATATTATTAAGAACTTTTAGTTCATTAATATTGTGTCTTACAACGAAAAATGAGCCCCTAAATTTGCACTTCTTTTCTGTCGGGGGATAGAGATTGTGACCACGCGCACGTAAAGCAGCCATGCAGACGTGGGCGTTTAATTAAAATAAGCATAATATAGCTTACGTACTGCATTCAGCCCCAAACATCAACAATGTGCCCTCAAACACAACCATTTTTTAAACACATGATTCTATCTTAAAAATTAAATTTTATGCAACTGTTGGATCTACTCTCAAATGAGTAGAGGCAATAGAAGTTCTGTCATGTGATCGCAACAATGTTTAGTCGCGATTCCAAGCCCAGGGTCCCCAATAATGTTCCCCAGAAAGAAAGCGTCCTCCTGCTTTCTCACACTAAAGGCTTTTGCAGTTTTACTGGCTGTTCTGGCTTTTAATTAAATCAGCGTAATAGCATAACAGAAGCATACGAGCATTTCCCTGCATGTGAAACACGCAACTCTCAACGTGTTAATCCCTTCCGATCTTGTGCAAGCCAATCGATAGGAGTGATTTAACGTGTAGGACACAATACCTGTTTCCATGAGCTGATGATAGCCCGGGCCAACTCTCCGACGACACCGCTGTTCTTCTTCAAATGGTTCACAGTTCGTCCAATGCCAGTGTCCTGTACGCAAGGAATGGTCAGAGCCTGATTACTGGTAAAGTTATCGAGCAAGCACTGCTGAAGAAGATACGACACCTCAGGCCAACATTCACGGAAGTACAAACGGGTACGCAGCGAAACTGTCACGACACGATAGATGGAAGCACATCGACGTCAAACTTACGAGGAACGAATGAAAAAGAGTTAGCGCAGCGATTGTGCTGAACACCACCGTTCGCCACTGGCTTGTTCATCTAGCTTCTATCGTTTCCGATATCGACTGCAGCACAGTATAGAAAAAGAATAAAAATGTCCCACTTTACTCACCTGTAGTAGGTGTAATGTCATTGGCACTTTTTGAAGCTTCCGAAGAGTTTCCAAAACCTGCGCAATAAAACAAAACCTATTTCTCCCCAGGATCCCCAGCACCATAGACGGCCACCTATCCAACGAACCGCGCACAAGTTATTTGCAGCGACAGACCTCTCTTATACAAAAGAGGTCAGGTTGGAGAAAGACAGCTGTGAACATAAGTGCAACAAAAATGAACATAAGCCAGCCGCAATGCGCAGATTACGCGTCGTTGACGCATGACGCGATGTTTTAACAGTACGGTCTCGTTTGATGCCACTAACGGCCGGTAACACTCTGGCGTGTTCGAGAGGTCATGCCCTTCGCTTGCATTATGCTCATCCCACTGCCCTTCCACGACATTTAGTGAAGCGCGAGCGTGCCGATAACTGACGATTCTTGTTTATTAGCGTTGGCACTGCGACGGAAGCTGCCTAGAGTCGCACATCAAACGTTTTCCATCACAAGATGCTGCCGACCAAGCACACCCTACGCAACGCCTAGGGGCTTGTGAAAGACAAAGTAGGAGAATCGGTACAAAATAAGACGAAACTCGCCTTTTCATCGCTCTGATTTTTCTCTAGTCGTTTGCCGTAGTGCAAGATTTTTTCCTTGCAGTCGGCCATCTTGCCAGCTGACGGAAAATTGCCAGTGTTGCTGGCACTAGCTACATATAGGGACAAACTTGACCCGAGAGCGTCATCGTTTTGCCACGCACACACACTTTGGCTGACATATTTTGTTTTCGTAAAGGGCGACGCCGCAGTTTCGCTTCCAAATTACGTTTTTGCGGGAATTTTGAATTGATGGGCAGCTTCGAAGTCGATTACGTATTTTACAGGGGTGAAGGTAGGATTTTGATGTCGTCGTGAGAGACCGCCAAGAAGCTTGCGTTTAAATATCGTCACCCAAAAGAAAGTTGACGCTTGCGTGCAGCACAGTGCTGTCTAAGTTTATATTTTGGGGTTTTCATTGATTCGGAGACGACTGCTCTCGTATTTTCGCCTATAGCAACGGTAGCTAAGGTCGATGAATTCTCTTGGGAAACAATCAATGTGTGTCATGTGGTCGCACACACTTCACACGTTGTGCAAGTAGCGTGCGGTGCACTGACCGTCATTACAGAGTAACTGTTGGTTAGCGCAGCTGTTACAATATTCGTGGCCGTTTTCTTTACGGTCTCAAAACAAGCCCTTGGGAAAGAGCGTGAGCGTTTCTTTTCTGCTTTTCGCCTCATTTGCTACTGTTTCTAAATGGCTCCGGGATGGTTTCTTGGGAATTTATTGACCAGGTATGTGTTTGCTTCAAGGTTGTAGTGTACTTATTTAATTTTATTTATTTCATAATACTGTCAACCCTCTCCTGAGGGCTCTTACAGGGAGGTTACAATCAAATACAAGCCAACTAATCTTCATCTATGTCAGGTGGTAGCGCAATCAATTCATACATGTGCAACATGCATTAATTGTATATATCGTATGTATCAACTTGTATATGTAGCAATATAGGTGATGTGGAAATTAAAACATTGGCTCAAGAAGTATAGATGCGTATAGCAGCCACTAAAAATAAAGGGGGAAAATTGACGAGGATGATAGTAGTCTCCACGATGTTACCTATAGAAATGTGTTTTTAATATTCTCCAATACTTGAAAGGAATAAATCTCTCGATGCGATAATTGAGAAAAATATAACGTAGCCACGATTTAGGCAAGGAGGTTTCACGAAATACATGAAAAACAAATTAATTGATTAATATGTGAGTTTTAACGTCCCGAAACCATTATATGATTATGAGAGATGCCGTAGTGGAGGGATCCGGAAATTTCAACCAACCTGGGGTTCTCTATGAAAAACAAATTAAAACTGAATGCGTGTCTGCATATATTTGTGTTACAAACGCAGCGTTTCCATGGTGCAAACTTTTCATTATTGTTTACCTCCATCTCTAGGTTGTAACTACCCGTCAACCTTGATGCGAAGCGCTACCAAGGCCATTTGATCAAGAATATAAAGCTTCCACACAAAGCCACATGAAGCCGTATGCGATGGTTCTACCGTCAACGTAAGTAATAGCAGGTCATTCACGAAAGCGTAGAAATCCCACATTGTTCGCATACTTTCTGTGAGTCTGTGACAGCCTTTCGTTGTGCTTCTACAGCGCGCACTGTTTGAGCAGATTACAAGCGCCACTGACAAGTTTCTTTACACGTCTCTACAGTGCCTTGTTTGGATCTTCGTTTGGCAGCCTGTTCCTCAAGACAATTGGGAGCAGCAATGCTAGCCTCCTGCTGATATTGGTATTTGCCTTTGTGGTGAGTTCCACTATACGTTGCGGACGTGACCCTTTCTTTGGGGATAACAGCGCGGCCTCATTTGTGAAACCAGGCTGCCACATTTCCTCGAACAAAAAACCGGCCCTACGACGGAAGGGGGCGGGGGGCTTTCAGTAGATTCAATTGGTGTTGAACAATAGATGCCATGTCAGGGTCTCTGGCATGTGTGCCATTTAATGTGACACTGCTTTCCGTGAGCCAAGTAAACCTGAGGGACAAACAAAAACACCACACGCAGCTAACCTACTAGTCTAACTGCAAGATAATTAGAGAATAAGAACACCGAACTAGCTAAACAACAAGTTTTATTGAGCTATTTCACTAGACTAATAGCTCGCATAAAAACATTCATGTTTAGAATGACGCTTCGTTCTCTGCTCTAATAAAAACCGGCCAATTACGGCGGGTGCAGACCGGCAACCAGCCCGCTGTCTCACAAACCAATCGAGCCAGTCTAAAACGACGGGTAGCAACCCTATCTTGAAATGAAATAACTTCTGTATCCGACAGCGCGCAGCGGTAAAGTTGTTTGCAGTGGCCGTGCAAGGCGACCGAAATTCAGTAGAAGACTGCGTGAGTCTGGCGAGTTATATTTGTGAGAACAAAAATAATAAAAGGCCTTCATAAACTAATGAAGAGGGGGAACTTTAATTGGAGAGCGTAGAACATACGCTATTGCGTATATAATCTTAATTTGAAAAGCACGCACAGAAACATTACTTAACTGCTTAAAATGACCATTGAAAATGTAATCTATGATGCACCAAGAAAAGAGCGAAGGAAAAAGAACTAATAAAGCTTAAACAACGCAGTGTGCACAAGTTCTTGCGCTTTCGTTTCATCATCATCGTCATCATCCTGGCTACACCCACTGCAGGGCAAAGGCCTCTCCCATAATCTGCCAATCAACCCGGTCCTGTACTTTATGTTGCCACGTTATACCTGCCAACTCTTTAATCCCATCGGTCCACCTAACGTTCTGTCTGCCCTTCGCGCGTTAGCCTTCTCTGGAAATTCAGTCAGTTACCCTCAATGACCAGTGGTTATCCTGCCTACGTGTTCCATGTCCATTTCTTCTGCTTCTTGATTTCAACTATATATGATATCATTAACCCCGGTTTGTTCCCTTGACCAACTCTGCTCTCTTCTTGTCTCTTAAGGTTACACCTATCATTTTTCCTTTACATTGCTCACTGCGTCATCCTCAACCTAAGCTGAACCCTCTTTGTGAGCCTCCAGGTCTCCGCTCCGTAGGTAAGTACTGGCAAGATGCAGCGGTTATATACCTTCCTCTTGAGGGCTATAGTGGCAGATTACCATTCATGATTTGAGAATGCTTGCCGAATGAGATCCACCCCATTCTTATTCTTCTAGTTATTTTAACTTTCATGTTTCGGCTACGTGGTTACTGCCAGTACTAAGTAGACATATTCTTTTACAACTTCCAGCGTCTCTCCACCTATCGCAAAGTGCTGTTCCCTGCCGAGGCTATTGCACATTACTTTACTTTCGTACACATTAATTTTCAGACCTACTTTTCTAAGTTTCCGTGTCCAGCTCTGCAACCAAGGCAATATCATCAGCGAATCACAGGTTACTAAGATAATTTCCATTAACTCTTATCCATAACTCTTCCCAACCTAGGGTGTTGAAATGCTATTCACCCCCTGTAAACACGCGGTGAATAGCATTGGAGAGATTATGTCTCCCTGCCTTACGCCCTTCTTTATTGGAATTCTGGCGCTTTCTTTATGGACAACTATGGTGGCTGTGGATCCACAGTAGATTTCTTCCAGTATGTTTATGTGAAGCTCGTCGATGCCCTGAATCCGTAGTGCCTGCATCACTGCAGCTGATTTCTCGATTGAGCCAAACACCTTCTCATAATCTAAAAAGGCAATCTGTAGGGGTTGGTAGTATTCTGCGCATAGCTGTAACACCTGATTGATAGTATGAATATGGTCTATCGTGGACTGTACGAAACCCTGCTCCGTCCTTTGGTTGATTGAACTCTAAAGTCACTTTAATTATATTAGCTATTATTTTTCTAAATATTTTGTACAGAACGGACAGTAAGCTGGTCTGCCTGCAATTTTTCAAGTCTTCGGCGTCTCCTTTCTTATGTATTCAGATGATGTTGGCGTTCTGCCAAGATTTGGTACCCTTCCCGTTATGAGCCACTTCGTATATAAGGTGGCGAGTTTTTCTAACACCATTTCTTCACCATCTTTCAGTGGGTCCGTTGTTACCTTATCCTCACAAGCGGCTTTGCTTCTTTGCGTTCCTTCTAGGGCATTCCTTACTTCCCCTATCATTACTGGTAAGATGTCGAATTCCTCTGGAATAATATTGTTTCTCACGATATTATCCTGCATGGTTGTTTTGGCTTCTGTACAGCTGAATTCCTCCACAACCTCGACTATCCTATCCATACTAGTTATGACATTGCCTTCCTTGTTTTTTAATGCGTATACATTCGATTTTTGCCTATGCACAAGTTTGCCTTCGCAGCTTTTAGGCTTCTGTCGCTTTTTACAGCCTGCTCGATTCTCTCCATGTTATACCGTCTGACGTCATGGCTACCTTACGTCTATCGAATAACTTCGAAAGCTCCACTAGCTTGATTTTGTCGGTTTCATTTGAGGCTTTTATGGTTTGTCGTTTCTTGATAAGAATTTTCGTCTCCTGAGATAGTTTGCCAGTGTCCTGTCTAGTGAACGTACCTCCGATTTCCAGTGCACACTCTGAAATAATACAAGTAAGATTATCGTTCATTGTGTCAACGATAACGTCAGTTACCTCATTTGATGCCTCGAATCTACTCTGAAGCTTAACTCTGAATTCCTGTACTTTTTCTCTCACCGCTAGCTCATTAATTGGCTTCATGCGTATTAGCTTTTGTCTTTGCATTTTTAAATGTAGGTGAATACGAGCTCTTATCATTCTATGGTCACTGCATAGGATCTTGCCAACTACTTCTACATCCTGTAGAATGCCTGGGTGTGCACACAAAATGAAGTCTATTTCATTTCTAGTTTCGCCATTAGGACTTCGCCACGTCCACTTACGGTTAGCCCGTTTTCTGTAGAAGGTGCTCAAGATCCGTAACTTATTACGTTCTGCGAACTCTACTAATAACTGCCCTCTGGTATTTCTAGAGCCGATGCCATATTCCCCCACTGTATGGTCTCCGGCTTGTTTCTTGCCTACTTTGGCATTAAGGTCGCCAATCAGAATAGTGTACTGTGACTTTGGTTTATTAAAGGCTGACTCTACGTCTGCATAGAAGCGTTCAACCAAATGATC